TTTTTAAGTACTTTTCATACTTTTTGACTAAAAAGTACTATTAATTAGTATTAAAAGTGTGAAAAAATAATAAAACTCACTTAGAAAAGTGAAAAAAAGTAATAAAAGTTAATTTATTTTTCTGTATTAATATTAAAAGTACTAAATAGTATGTTTTATTTAAGAAAATACTATTAGGTACTTTTAATATTAATACAGAAAAATAAATTAACTTTTATTACTTTTTTTTACTTTTCTAAATGAGTCTTATTATTTTTTCACACTTTCAATAATAATTAATAGTACTTTTTAGTCAAAAAGTATGAAAAGTACTTAAAAAGGTTCACTTATAAGTACTTTTTCCTGTTTAAAATTTACTTTTGAAAGTACTTAATAGTTGGTTTTTGCCTACTTTTTTTTTACATGGGTTCCTAACAAATTAATTGAACAAACTACTTACGAATGCACCGATGTAAACGTTATGAAGTGAGTCTGACATGAATGAGTGACCAACATCAAGCATAGTACAAGCTCTTAAAACACATGGCCCCAAAATTCCACGACTTCTGTGTTTATCAATTTTTAGTTGTTGTTTTTGTTCTTTTTTTGTCAATTGAGTTCGTTCCGAATCCCTGAGTTCTTTTAATGTGAGTAGTGTATCATGTCGAATATTGCAACGTTGTTGTATCGTGTTCAAAACGTCCGATTCAGCTGCAAAGCTGCGGACAAATCCATCTGCAGGCCCACTGCTCACCATACAACCTGTAAAGATATTTTTCATTTTTAATTGCTGTAGAAAACTACTAGAATCTGGACATCTATGTATTTTATAAATGTCTACTCCCTATGTAAAAAAACGAGCCAAAACGTGACTCTTTTATACTTTCAAAAGTCTTTTTTAAGGAGGAAGGAGTACTTATTTGTGAACCTTTTTAAGTACTTTTCATACTTTTTGACTGAAAAGTACCATTAAGTACTTGTTAAAATGAGAAAAGTATAAGAAAGTACTATGAAAAAAGGGAAAAGTACTTAAAAGTACTATGAAAACTGAAAAATTAATTTATTTTACTTTATTAATATTAAAAGTACTTAAATATAACTTAGGTTCACTTTTATTTTTACAAGAGTTATGTCAAACTTTTTTTTTCATACCACCATATGCAAAACCCAACCACACAATTATCTGGGTACTAGTCTAAGTGGAAATCAATAATAATTTTGATGCGTAATGATTTTTTTGCTATAAATTATTTAAAGACAAATCTACGTAATCTCCTTTTTTTATTCGAAAATTATTTTTCGAAATATTCAACAGATATTATCAAGGCTATGATTTGAGATTTGCACGTGTTTCGAATTTTTTTGTTCTCTAGATACTTTGTTAGAGCGAGTGCTCAGTGTTTTTAAGAAACTCTACAAATAATTTCAATGACAGTGCTGTGAAATACTTTAAGAATGATTTTACTAAGGCTCATTCGAAAAGCACCATAGCAATTCTTTAAAGTCTAAGTATTAGGGGTGTTACTTTATATTTATTTTACTTTATAATAAAGAATAAAGACAACAAAAATCTTTATTTTAAAAAATAAAGATAAAGAAATGAAGAAATCTTTATTCTTTATAAAATAAAGTTAAAGATAATCTTTGTTTTTCAAAATAAAGATAAAATAAAGAAAAAATAAAATTTTTTTTCAGCGATTGATAAATAGATAAATAATTGATATAACAACAGAAAAGATTGATCACAGTTCTTTCTTATCATGGGCGGAATTCCAATACGGAATAATGCTAGAAAATGAGGGTGAGGCATAAATGATTTATGGAAAAAACCTTGTCTCCAAAGCGTTTTTTCACCTGTGACTTGAGAATTTTTTGCAAGCTATCCGGAGAAGATAAAATTTTAGGTTTTTATGAAAAATAGTTTTTCATTATTATTTATTTTATCTTTATTAAATAAAGATAAAGTAACTTTTTCTTTATCTTTATTTTATAGAAAATAAAGATTTCTTTATTTCTTTATCTTTATTTTTTAAAATAAAGATTATCTTTACCTTTATTTTATAAAGTAAAGATAAAGTAACACCCCTACTAAGTATCTATCAGTTTAGAACTGTATGAAAGAAAACGATACTTAACTTCTAGCTCACATCTTTCACAACCAAAAGCGGCAATTGGTTCTGGAAGATTTTGAACCAACGCCTGTGCTGGTTTATCACAACAGGCACCTATTAAATAAACTCGAATTAGAATTATTTGATCAGTTGAAGACGAAACTTGAGATGGTATATAAAATCCTATCCCATTTTCTAAACGAGTAAGTTCAGTAACAGTAGATTTTAAAAAATAAGCCATATGTGTTCGGGACGGTTTAGTTGGTCCTGGCCATACACCAGCTAAAATAAGGTTTTCGGGTGAGAAACGACGTTTTATTGGTATTTCATTCACTACTAAAAGAATTGGCCAGATTGTTTTTTTTGAGCCTTTATTAAGTTGGATGCCATCAATGTTGAGACTCAGTGTAATAAATGTATCTTGACATGATTCTTGAACTCTTCGATATAATTCACCGTCACATATATCTTTCATGGTGTCCATACTAGTTTTTTTTTCTAAGTTCATATATCGATAGTTAGTTCTTACAATACGGCTTAACTGATCACTGATGTTGAAATTTCGAAACGATATAATTGATGAAGAATCGCTGAATGAAAAACCGCATTCAGAACACATTGAATTAGTTGATGAAACCTTAGAACATGCTGTACAAACATATGTTATAACAGGTGGTGATTGAATAGCATTTCGTTGCAGAAGCTTTTTTAATGCGGACCAACTGTTAGGAATACAATTTTGAGGTATGCTTGGCAAAAGTTTTAGTAAATGATTGATGCATGATATTGACAGTCGATAACGACGCTTGAAAAGTACTAGAGCGCAGGCAACGTCCATAGATGAAACCATTCGTTGTGGATCCACTGTCGTAGATGGACTACTTTTAAAGGAATATAAAGATAGCTAGATAATACACAAAGTAGAAAAAACTAACGTTATTGTTTCGTTTACTTCATCATTATCTGACATTGAGATCGTTGAAGATGATTCTATATGATCACTAACCCCATCGTAGCTGTTTAAAACTTCAGACAGTTTGTAACCTAGAGCAGTATTATCTAACAAATGCATCAGGAATATTATCATTTACCAAATTTTTCTGCTTGCAATCGTAGGCGTCGTTGTCGCCATCTAGTTGTTTTTTTTTGCCATAAAAATACTAGAAAGTTATAGATACTAAACCTTTCAATTAATGAATTACTTGAACAAGAAAATAAATTCATATTATTGTTTCGCATATTTCTTAAGCTAGTTTAAGTCTGATCAAATGTTAGCAATTTTATGATCGTTTAAAGAATTGCTTAGTAGGCCTAGCTTTAATAATAGTTAATACGCTGCATTAGTTTATTTCGATTCATTATATGGCTCATGTAAAAGTCAAGTAGTAAGGAGTTATTGCGATAAAGTATTTTCAATGTTTTTTATTTCTTCACCACAGATAATTATGAATGATTCATCTGGTTTATTCAAAAAAAAACAGCGAATGGTCAATACAATAATAAAAGAGAAACTAAGAACAAGGAGACTGAGATGCTCCTTCTTCAATAACAAGATATAAATCTTCTCGAGTAAATAGTTTCATAAAAGAAAAATAAAAAGAAATAATGTCTCTAGAGTATCTGAGAAAAATGAAGTGAAAAATAAAACCGTTTTAGTTAGTCCCCGTTAAATAGCTTGAGCTTCACCAAATGATAAATGCTGTGACTTTAATTAATAATCATCTTCGCTACTATCTGTATCATGATCGGTATTTTTCATAGGTTCTTCATTTTGTTGTTTAAGACCACGATCACGTTGATAAAAATCACTACCCATAGCATTATTTAATTCACCATCTGTAAATTTTAAACTTTCAGCTGGATGCATTAGTCTTCCATACCCTACAAAATAGAAACAAATTATCTATAATATATGGCATCTTTTAACTTACGACGAATAGATGCCACTTTGTTTGACATTTTTTTCAAGACTTTTCCGAAATGAATATTTGGATCAGCCAACTGTTTTTGGAACACACGACGAACCAACTTTCTGCAAGTGTTTCGTATACTTTTACTATCCGTACATTCATCAAGTTCAGATTCACTTAATGCAAGAGTAGCCATGATGTTGGTAAGCTGATCGGATTTATTGTCATTGCGATCTTTCTCTTCTCCAGTGCATATAGAAACGATTTTAGCAAAGTAGTTAATTGTGACCGGATCTGGACGGGCTAAAATAAGAAAAAGAAATAGTGCCGTTATTTTATTATTTTCAGCAATTGTTGCCTAGTCTTTTATTGCTCGTTTTTTACCTGTTCAGATCGAAAAAAAAATAGCAAAAGATCAATAAGTAAAACATCTTTCGAATGTTTATTATGAATTCATAAGAATATCAATATAAAATATACACTTACGCATCCAATTGTTTTCCATTTCAGTGATTTGTTTTTTCAATTTTTCATTTTTTTCTTGTAAAACCATCATACGAGCATGTATATACTCATCAGCATCATCTTCAGACTTTAAACGTTTGGAAACAGATGAATTTTCATCATTTGTATTTGAATCTTTATTTGTAAGTGGTAAAGGCCGTTTATTTTCTAAACATTTCTATTTAAATTTAAATGTAATTATAAAGAACGATCTTTTTACTTTGAGAAGGTGATTCATTTGAAACAGTAGTTTTATTTTTAGTATTACTATTATCGACATGATCGATCACAATTACTTCATTTTGTTTTTTATTTGTCGACTCTTCTTCATTTTCTTCTTCAGACTCTGATTTCTCTTCACGATCATCGACCAGGAGTTGTGATCCACTATCATTGTTAACATTGGTTGCTTTTTGTTTTTCCAATGCAACAAATAACTCTTGACATTCTTCTTTAGAACCTATTCGTAAAAAATAAATAAAAGAATCATCATATTGCTAAAAAAATAAAAACCAACCGATAATAAGTATAGTGCCATGACCACGACTTTGATCTGTTTTCACGTAAATAACTTCAATGCCCACCTCAATTCTCGTATTCTTACTATTTGAAACACTACTGTAATCAACTATTGATTCGATTTTAGTATCTGTGTCACGTAAAAGTATATATTTATATTGATTTTTTTTCGTCGGTTTAGAAATTTTTTCTTTTGATTTATTCTTCTTCAATGGCATCCTTTATAATTTGTAATTAGATGCAAATAGTATACGACAAAGCGAAATAAAGTTAACAATGTGATCTGACAATGAAAAAAAAATATTATAGTAACTATTAGGGTCGATATATAAAAAAAGTTATTTATTCTTTTTTTACTGCTTCTTTTTATTTCATACATATATCTGACCTCACATACAACTAACTGAAAAATGTCCGCACACACATAGATATATATATTCTTTGATCCAGGCAAACACGTACATATGTATATAGCGGTGGATGATTAGATATCGTAAAACAAAGAAAAGATATATCTAGTCATCAAAAGAAATATAATCAAGTACAAACAATATAACTAGTAGAAAGGAAAAAAAGAAAGAAAACGAAAAGACCTAGACAAGAAAAATAGAGTGGAACGATGTGAAGGGCGAGCCCGTAACAGTAACATTGTTAAAATTTATTATCCTTTTTATGACAGTACAGATATAAACATATTTTAGTTGTTGATTCAAAACTTTCCGTTAGTTCGAATCTAATTATGTACCCGTGTAAATCTTTACAAAATTTTTCATTGTTTTTTCATATTGAACAAAGATATATGTTTCAATACGTCGTTTATTCCACCAATGAAAAAATTGATGATGATACTGTAATAAATATACATTATAAAGAATAGACCCTGGACAGCTCCATATCAGTTCCGTTTTTGAGAACTGTTCAAACAGTTCTTTGATAGGAACTGATCTGTCCAACCAGTTCTTTTAAAAGAACTGATCTGTGCCTACCAGTTCTTTGATAGGAACTGGTCCGCCCAACCAGTTCTTTGATAGGAACTGATCTGTCCAACCAGTTCTTTGATAGGAACTGATCTGTGCCTACCAGTTCTTTGAAAGGAACTGATCTGTTCAACCAGTTCTTTGATAGGAACTGATCTGTGCCTACCAGTTCTTTGAAAGGAACTGATCTGTCCAACCAGTTCTTTGATAGGAACTGAACTGTTCAACCAGTTCTTTGATAGAAACTGATCTGTAACTAGGGGTGGGAAGTTACCGTTCCCAGACCGTTCCTGGGAACGGTAACGGTAACGAAAAAGTTCCCAGTCACCGGAAACGGTAACGCCCCGTTCGCAGTTACCCGAGAACGCAGGTAACGGTCATGGGACTACCTAGCATCACCAACCTCATAGCCTTGGTCCTCACGAACAACTATTGGGGGTACCCTTGTGTCGACAAGCCCCACTATTGGAGATACCGTTGGGTCCTTAAATGCTAGTATTAGCAAATACCTTTGGCTCATCAAGTGCTCGTATAGCTGGGTACACTCAGCCCAACCAGTGCAACTATTACGTGGTACCGTGCGTTCAACCAATGCAAAATTTGCACCAAACCGTTGTGCCGTCAGGATTAATTGCCAGGAAGGGGGTATCCTTGGCCCAACCACCGCAAAAAGTGGCGCGGTAACGTGGGCACAATCTATGCAAATTTTGCACCGAACTGTCGTGCCACCAGGTTGAATTGCCAGGAAGGAGGGTAGCCTTGGTCCAACCACTGCCAGAGTTACGCGGCAGCCTTTGCCCAAACAGTGCAAGTGTCGCGTGGTACCCTTGCACCAACAATTACTGGTGTTGCCAGTATCCTTGGCCCCTGAAGTCTTACTACTAGGAGGGGGGCACCCTGACGTCCTGAAGTCAAAGTACTGGGAAGTACTTTTCGGTCCTCCAGGAGGACCCGAGTATATCCCGTATTGCTAGCACTTGGTGGACCAAGAGTAACCCCGAAACGTAACGGTAACTTCCCACCCCTAGGTGTGAATGCTGAGAGAAGACTTATACGCACACACACTAACACCTAACCCAACCCACACAAAACCCATCCCAAATCCACACCCAGTTCTCGAAAGAGAACTGGTCACTTTACCCAGTTCTTGAAAAAGAACTGGTCACTTTACCCAGTTCTTGAAAAAGAACTGATTACTTTTACCCAGTTCTTCAAAAAGAACTGGTCACAATAAGCAGTTTTCGAAAAAGAACTCATCACTTTATCCAGTTCTCGAAAAAGAACTGATCACTTTATCCAGTTCTTGAAAAAGAACTGGTCACAATAAGCAGTTCTCGAAAAAGAACTGGTTGCAATAACCAGTTCTCGAAAAAGAACTGCCGGGGGTGTACAGTTCTTAGAAAAGAACTGCCGGGTGCACACAGTTCTCGTCAAAGAGCTGGTCACTTGAAACCAGTTCTGGAAAAAGAACTGGTCACTATACCCAGTTCTTCGAAAATATACAGTTCATAGAACTGGGAACTGTCCTAGGTCTAATATTTCATGAAATGTTTATCTATTTGTTCCCATGTTTGATAATGTTATTTAATAAACGAGGGAGTAATGCTTACAGGTCAGTCTTGGATTTTGATGAATCCTGGTTTGGTTTGAATTAATGTCAGATCTGATATGGAACTAGTAATTCAATATTGGATCCAGAGAAAAGGTTACCATAAAACTCAAGCAAATCTCTGGGTTCATGTCAGATTCATTTTGCTGTTAGTAAGCCATCATAAGACAATCATTTTTCAACTAAGTTAGCGATCGGTTGACAAACTGAGTACAAATTCAAACACTGATGCAGACCCTCTCAGAGAAGTTATTTCCTTGTATAAAGTGGCTCCTCGATGCTCAGAACATGCCTTGATTCATCCATTGGCATAGATGTCATAATACTCAAACATTGGGTAATGGAAATTAAACGTCATAATATCCATGGAGCATCCAATCGAGATGTACTCATTTTTAGATCTTGAAAATTTGTGTAATTACCCTTAGGGTAAAAACTTTGATATAACAATATGTTAAAAGTTGAGGAATTTCAGTTATTTTCGTGTAATGACTTTTAAGGTAACGACTTTCATATGAAAGGATATAATTATGAGTTTTTTTTTCGGAATTGTTTCGGTTTCCTTATAAGGAATGCACGATGGAAGTTATTACCCTAAAAGTCATTACACCAAAAGGGCTCTAACTCCTGAATATTTAGCATGGATAAATAAAGAAAAAATCGTTACCGGGTATAACGAGATTATGACATCACTCACAGGCCTATAT